GAGAGAGCCTCACACTTTTTAATTCCATATTTATGCTTTTCTCTTAATAAAAAAATTTATCAAAATAACCATGAGATATAAACTATTTAACATTTTACCATGTTTTTTTATTTTATTTTAAAACACCAATCAAAAGACATATTATTACGATATAGAATAATTGCAAAAGAGTAAAATGATGTTGGGTGCAGTTAACGTTACAACCTTATTTTGTACAAATAAGGTTGCGATACTCTAGACCCTTTAGTTTAGTTAAATGGTTTATATTTGACATATCTTTGGAAATGATGTCAATACATATCAGGTCTTTTAAAATAGTGTTAAATTTATACTATCAAAAGAAAATGGACAGTACAGATTAATGCAACCCTATTTCTGTAAATAAGGATGCAGTCTTATATAAACTTCTCCCAACATTAAATAGTTTAGCTTTCATGGTTAGTTTGATAATTTTCACTTCTTAACAAGGTTTTCAAACTCAGGCGATTCGACTCAGCCTCAGCTGAGTACCCTGAGTCCTTGGTACATAAGTGTTTTAGGCATAGGGTAAACATGAATCGCTGAAAACATGGAAGAAACGATTCAAAAAATGTGAAAATCACTTAAGTTTTCATATTTAGCGGACTAAACTCATTTTTTGTAATATGAAAACTATTGTAAACTGAAAATCTTAAATTTGTGAGTGATTTTGATCGATTTTTGGAATCTTTTCATGTTTTTATCAGCAATATTATGTTTATGATAAGATTTGGGTTGATCAAAACTCAATCTAATAAGGTTATCTACAAAAGTCCTCTGTTGATTCTCGTGTTTATCAAGTTTAATCACTTTAAATTTTTGGTTGTAGGGTCTATCTAGGATTTTTTTTCTGGCCAAGCCTCATTGTTTTTGATGATTTCTACACCAAATTGGAAGATTTTTGGCTTTTTTTGAAAATTTTAAAATCAGCTTCAAGAGGCCTATATAAATTAGTGGTTTTCTTTTGCAATTTTCAATTGATTTCATACATCAAAGAGCTAGCATGGTTAGTCTGTGAAAAAATCGCCAATTTTATTATTTCTCTCTAATTACTCCATAGTTTTTTTTTTAGTTTATTTTGAAGCTTTTGAAATCATCTTTAAAAGCCCTATACAAACTCTTGGTTTTTTTAATCCAATATTGATTGATTTTATGCATCATAGAGCTAATATCAATCAACAATAAAAAAATTGTAAAATCTAATATTTTTATCTAATTTATCAACAATAACGTTCAGATTATTTTTATTTTTTTAAAGATATTGAAATATCTTGAAAACACCTGTATTGCTTTGTGGGTTTTTTTTCAGTATTCGTAAAATCGAACCGGAACGGTTAATCGGACATGGGACCGGAAACGGTTTAACCGACCTAAACGTTAAACCGGCCGATTTAACTGTTCTAACTAGGCAAGTTCTGGGCAGTAAAAAAAGTAATGAAAAAAAAAAAAAGATACCAAAAAAAAAAAAAAAGTGTACTAAAACATGGAAAGCAAATAAAGAATGATTAGAACAAACACACTCAAATAAAATTGAGAATTAATGAAAAAATAGATTTTAACAATTGATTTTTGAATTAAAGTGAGTATTAATGACCAAAACAATTTTTAATCTTTACCATAATGTCAAAAATATTAAAAAATAAATTACAAACTAAATTCCTTATTTTTTGAGAATTTGTATACATTTTTTTATTTTTTTTTTAAATACCGGTCAATCACCAAAACCGCCCAAAAGCAGAACGACTAGTAGCCGGTTCTGATCTAACCGAGCGGTTGGCAGTTAGATCGCCCGGTTTTTCCAACAATGGATTTTTTTACTTCAATATCAATTGATTTATTACATCGTAGAGGTAATATCATAGTCATATTTAATTTATTCCAATAATAAATGTTACTTTTGCTAGATTGCGCCATCATTATCATCTCTTTTGGGGTTTTTAGATATGTAAGATTCTTTTTTAAACAATTATAAAAAAAGAGCTCCAACGAAAGTAGTAAGTATGAAAAAATGTGGGGTCATTTTTTTAGAATTCACTAGATGTACGAATAATGTTTTTTTTTTTAAAAGAGTTAAGATAAAAAGAGTTCCAAAAACAAAATTTAGTCCCCCTCCCCCAATTGAACTCAATACCTATTATAGACTCAGGCAACATATATATTTTTTAAGAGAGTTATATTTTTTAAGAGAGTTATAGAAAAAGAGTTCCAAAATAAATCCAAGTCATTAAGAAATATAGAGTTAAAAAACATATTTTTAATAGAGTTATGAAAAATAACCATAGTAACGATGGCTAGCCTTTATTTGCTCTAAAAGAATCTGTAAAAAAAATAACCGTAATACCACTTATAGACTCAAGCAACATAAATGTTTTTTAAGAGAGTTATAGAAAAAAGAGCTCCAAAATAAGTCAAAGCCATTAAGAAATATCGAGTTAAAAAATATATTTTCAATAGAGTTGTGAAAAATAACTGTAGTAATGATGACATTCTAAAAGGCAAGGGACAACATGCTACCACAAAACCAACACACAATTAGGGGCCATTTGGATACTTGGAAATATATTGTCTGTGAAATATATTACTAGCGTAATACATTACCGACAAATAGATTGTTACTGTTTGGGTAATATTTAAATGCAATATAGGAAATACATGGTTACCGTTTGGCTATGTCTCGAAGAACTATGGGAAATGTATTACCAACATTTTACCACCTATAAACTATCATTTCTTTCTTTTTTTTATCACAAAATTCTATTGAAATGTGGAATTAAAGTCGTCATCACATCATTCTAAAAATATTTTCTAATAATAACATCATTAGCATTCTAAAAAGGATTTCTAATAATAGCCTGTACCATTCTAAAGTCATCATCACACATTTATTTTGCCTGTCTTTGGCACTTACATGGAATTGCATGTCTTCTAACATGATTAGACTTTAGTTTCAACATGATAAGTCATTGGAATAACATGTTTTTATTGTGATAAGCTTTATTTTTATTTATTTTGTATAGAAGTATTTCAAATATCTATCTATATAATTTCAAATAAGCAATAAATTTATGATACCAAATTAAAAATCTTTATGAAAAAAATTAAAAAATTGGAAGAAACTTGATAGTAAACTAGAAGGTTTGGTAATTGCAGTAAAAAATTTTGCGGTATTGGAGGAAACTAAATAGGTATCTTATTTCAATTGAGCTTTTACTAATATCTTATGAGGATTATGTTTGGTGGAATTGTTTATTATAATTGTTTTGAGTAATTTCTTATGTTGGGTGAAATTTTTGTATTATAATTGTGTTGTGTAATTTCTCATTTATTAGATATGTTACCTATAATGGATATACGAAGGAGAGAGGGAAAATGGAAAAAGTACAGATGAGAGAGTAAAGGGTTTAAAAAAAAAGAAACAAATCTAGATGAGAGAAAGGGGCTTAAAGATAAAATGGGTTAAAAAAAAGAAAAAGTACAGCTGAGAAGAATGAGCGTAAAGAGATTGGGAGCACCTTATGCAACCCAGTTACTGGGGTTCAAGAGAGAGGGGATGCAAGAAGGTAGCACCTATTTGTGGTTGGCATTATATTAAGGGTTCAAGAGAGAGGGGATACAGGAAGGGAGCACCTATTTGTGGTTGGCATTTTATTAAGCTGAATAGGGTAGAGAGGTGTATGTGAAAGATTTCTAGCGATTACCGGGTGTAATAGATTTTTCACTTTTCATAGTTAATAATGTGTTTCAAAATTTTTGGAGAAAAGGTTAAATCTTGGTTAATCTCTTTCCATTTCCTTACTATAAAGGGTACTTGTACCCAAACGGACTTTTCATCGCTTATAATGTGTTTCATAATTTTTGGGGAAAAGGTAATGTGTTTCATAATTTTTGACGAAATCTTGGTTAATCTCTTTCTATTTTTTATTATAAAGGGTACCCCGTACCTAAACGGTGGAAATGTCATATTTCTTTGTAATCGATGGTCATGTAATAGATTTTCAGGTACCGAAACGGTCCCTTAATGACTAAAATTAGCTGCTTTTCTATATATATACCCTTAGTTTGCACGAATACTTTGGTCGAGTCGATGTTTTGAACCTTGCTTCAGGGATTTTTAGCTCACGTATAAAAGTATTGGGCTCTATGAAATCGTGGGCGATGACTTGACATAAATTTAGAACCTCACAACAAAGAGATGGGAGTTAGAAATCGCTCTCTCAAATTCAAGAGATGAATCCAACGGAGATGACCTTTCCTCATGTGTTCCTGATTCACTCATTCAACAACAAGTTGGTCTTAGTATATTGCCCAATAGGGGAGGGAAACGGTTTGAGTTAATCCATGGATCTAACGAGTGGACTTGATTGGGTCTGGGTTTGGGTTTTGGTCTAGCTTGGATGATCTTATCGGCGCTGGTTCCTGGTCAATCCGATTTGACCTGATATATATAAGTATGAGATACGTATAAATATAGAAAAAATTTATATTAGGCTGCAATTTTACTTGTAAAGTAAAGCTACAAGATTCAACATTTTATTTTATTTGGACGACGTAGATTTGACACTTACTTAAAAATTGTTTTACCGTTTTATACTCTCTTAAAAGATGTGTTAAATCTACAATGTCTAATTAAAATGGGTTTTGTAGAACATCGCAACCTTACTTCCATAAGTAATGTCGAAACGTTATACAAACCTTACAAATTAGCCATTTATTGTGAAATATTTATGTTATTTTTTGCATTTCTTTTAGACCTAGACCCAACATGACCTAGTGGGTCAGGTTTAGGTCCAATTGACTTGGACTTGACCTAGTTCTGGGTCAAGTCCACATCTGACTTAAACCTAGTCCGGTTGGGCTCTTGTCGGGGTCAACCCAAACCCGACCCAACATATTTAGAACCTCATTTCCCAACAAAGCTCTCTTAGAAACATTTCCTCAATTACATGACATTGTTGGTTTTGAACGAGGACTCAAATCAGGTTATGTATGCTAGGGCCTCCCGCCCTTGTCATGAGTTGCCATTACATTTTCTCTACATTTTCTTGGTTTGAGAAAATACACATTCATTCTGTCTCGGTCTTTACACCAAGTTCAAACCCTTTCATCTTCAAAGATCAATTTTTCTTCTTTTTGATTCACAAATTTGAAGTATCTCCCTCTCTCTCACAACTCGATCCCTCCTCAGAAGAAGCCATACCTTCACCATTGAATCGGCCCGGCGCAAAATCGAGCTCATACGAGGCCATGACAAGAGCCACCGAGGCCAACACCAATGGAACCGATCCCAACACCCATAGTGTCAACACGAGCCCTATATGTAGAGCCCGACTGCCCACCGAGCCAAGGCAACACCCTCTCTCCACCACCCAATAAACGTGCTCGGGCTCGATTTTTCTAGCTTCCAGTGAAGATAGAGAATCACTTGATTGGAATGAAGAATTTTGTGAGATTTGTTCCAAGTGTTGTGTTGATTTTGAGGGGTGATACGGAGGTAAGCCTAGGAGGAAGTTTGCATGAATGTGGAATTGAAGGGAGAGGGAGGAGGACAAGAAGCTGAAAAGAAAGAAGATGCAAGGGGTTGCAAACTTGAGGGCAGCCATGGTTGGATTAATAATTGAACCAAGCAATGGACTGGGCAGGAAGTGAGAGGCCATGTAGGAGTTGTTGGCTAACGAGGCTAATGAGGAGTTGATCAATATGGTGATTGTGGAGGCTAGAATTTGTGTCATGAGGTTGTTCCTTTGGGTTTGCACTGCTAGTAAACCCTTTTTCTCATCATTTTCCTACAAATGAACCAAGAAAATAACACAATTATAATCTTGAATGCACATTTTTGTGCATGAAGTTATATGAAGAAGCAGAAGGATCATATCTATTGTGTCTCAATATCAGTGTTCGAAAACTCTGGGAGTCCAATCCAGACTCGGCAAGTCATCGAACGCAAAAAGAAAAAAAAGGAATGGCTTCTTCCAAAGATTTAGTGGTGACCTTTTAAGACTCGGCTGAGTATCAGACATGCTCAGCCAAGTCAAGGTGCCTGACTCGGGCACGATCCCCAAGCTAGTGCCAATCCAAGTCGATGCTTTTAAAACACTAACAGTTATAAGTAGAATTTTTGAGTTTAGCATGTCTCACTTTTATGGAAAATGAAAGAAAAATACTCATTTTTGTTATCATAATTATTCCTCTTACAAAGATTCCTTTAGTAATACCCTCTTTTGATTCCAAAGACCCAGGAAAGTAGCACACATTTTGCTCTCCCTGAACAATTGCACATGCTCTCTTGAAACAGAAATAGAGAGCTAGAAACTTAGATAAAAAGATAAAAATAAAGAAAAACCATCATCTTATTTCACTGAAAGATACAGAAGAAAACAAATATAAAGAGCAGTTGTAATCAAGATTTTTAAAATAGTAAAAATTTCAGTAGATGAAAACCAAAGAAATGAATTAAGATAAAAAAAAAAAGACCAAGAGATTACAAACTTGACGAAAATTAAACTCACATGCAGTGATTAAAAATCGAGTCACAAGTCATACTCGAGTCACAAATCATACCCGCCCAAGTTCTGGCACAAAAACCTCCCACCGAATCTCACTGGTTCCCAATGTTTTATCGCTATTACCTTTTAAGGCCCGGTCAAGTCTGTAATTTAAACTCAGTGATTTGAACTTCTTTTTTTGTTTTTTTTGAACTTTAACTCAGTGATTTAAACTTACATGCAGTGATTTTAAAGCTCAGTGAGTCACAACTCCTACTTGCCTGAGTTATGGTACATAAACATTTGGAACCAGCCTAGCCTCACTGATTCCCAATGATTTATCATTAGTTATATTAGGACTTGGCCTAGCCAACCTCCATTAATTGGTAAAAGGCTATGATGATGACATTAGGACTTGGCCAAGTCTTTGACAGGTTCGGCCAAGTAGAGTTGCTTGACACGCTTGGAACGCTGGCGACTCATGACTTGAGTCCTTGTTTTAGAACACTACTTACATGCATAATGGTTTGAACCCAATGTCTCCATCTCAGTCTGTCAACCCCAATCCTGGTTGATAAGGGCTGCTTCTTCACATTATACCACAAAATAGCATAGTAACATGCTATCAAGAGAAGGCTGAGAGGCACCAAAGCTAGATCCCATGAATACTTGGGTAAGTTCATTCTTGATCCAAGGAAACAAGAAGAAAAACCTGCAAAAGATGGAGCAGTTTATGTAGGTAGAGGATCCAAATCCTTTGTTTACTAGCACCTTCAAAACCCTAATTTGAGTACATAATATATACAGTACACTTTAGTGTTTTCAAGGCCAAGAGTTTCACTTGTAAAAGTTATAACTAAAATAATCAATCAATCTACGGTAGAGGTTGCTCACATAACCCTATTAATGATGAAATGACCAAAAACTACTCCAATATTGAGAATTTAACAAAAAATATATTTTGCACAAAATGGCAATAAAGATTACTACTTGGACATTTGATGGCATACATGAGACAGAGAGTTGCATCTTGGACTCATGGAGATTAGAGCCTTCTTTCAACTTTCTTGTCTCATGCCTGATGTGCTAACTCTCCACAGCAAGAGAGAGAGAGAGAGAAGATTGGATAGAAAGAGAGCATTAGAGACAGTGAACATTTGCGAGAGAGAGAAAAAGATAGAGAGAGTGAGGGAGTCCTGCCTTTATGCATGGATAGGGGTGGCAATGGACCCGAACCTAACCCGAGACCTGATGTCCGGACCTGACACGGATCCAAGTATGAGTTTAAGAATTGGCCTAGGCAGGTCGTATCCAAGTCTAAATATTGGACCCAAACACTACTCGGGTCCAGGTCCGAGTCCATGTGGACCCGATCTAGACCCGACCCAATTTAGGTTATTATATAAATAAATTATAAAAATTGCAATTTGGGATGGTTGTCGCATTCCATAGACACTCAGTCTCTAGTTCTCAACCATAAGCTTTGGTTTGGGATCCCAACTTATGAAATATATGCATGTGTAAATTAGGATACGCTTCTCTTTTTCAATCTTTCCCCTTATTCAAGTTTCTAGGAATGCCAAGGTCTCAATGGTGACGGAGATTAGGTAGAAAGGGGGATCATGTAATCAACTTTCTAAAGATAAATGGTTTATAGTAAAATATTTGAAAAGTTGTGAATTAAAATGAAACTGAAAGTGCTTTGCCTACTGCATTACATGAAGAGTGCCCTACCCACTAACTCTATGCATGTCCAGGTTCATTGAATCCACCCTTTTGCCCTCTCCAAGCGCCGCATGACATGCTCCTAACGGCCGGAGCAAACAAAGGGGGTGTAGGTGTGAGGTTTGTGTGTGCGCGCGCTTGGAGAGGTCCAAGCGCCGCATGACATAACAAATAAATGGTGTAGGTGTGTTTGAGAGAGAGAGTAGGGGGTGTCAATCGACCCTGACCCGACCTGGGTCCAGGTATGGGTCCAAAAATTGGATCCAGCAGATCGGGTTCGGGTCCATGTAGACTTGACCCAAATAGTGTTTTCAAATACTTAATATTTAAATAAATATAGCTGTATATTTTAAATTATAATATTTAAATAATGCATATAAATTTTTAGCATGACATTTAAATATATTTTAATATTTAGATTTTTTATTTTTGAGTTGGGTCTGGGTCTAGCGGGACCCGACCCGGCGCCACTCCTAAGTGAGAGAGGGAGGGAGGGAGGAGTTGACACTAAAAAAATGAGAAAATTAAAGCAAAACCTAAAGATGGCAATGGGTTGAGCCTCGATCAGGGCCAAGGCTGGCCCCCAGCTAGACTGGGACCTGCTAGGGAAAGCTTGTGCCTGGCACAACCTGAATGGGGCCATAGGGACTATGACCTGACTTTACTCTAGATGGCCTACCTAGACAAGCTTTGTTAATGGGTCAGGTCAGGCTAGACTAGTACATGTAGTCTTTTATTTTTAATTTAATAAATAAACAGAAAATAGAAGAAGGTTGGGCTAGCCATGACCCCTGCTAGGGGTATGGCCAACAAACTTTCCGGTAGGGCCAGGTCAGGGCAACATAGTAAGGCTTGTAGGCAATACTTGGTAGGCCCAAAATATTTTCAAGCTTGGCTGGGATAGCACTCAAACAGTTCAAACTTGAAATTTTTAGAGAAATTATCACAAATATATTTTAATGTTCTTCTATTTAAATACGTCTATTTAAGAAAAAAAAAACGTCACCACACCTTTGTTCTTCAATTTCAATTTTGGATATTTTTTTTAGGAAAATAACGTTGTAGTCATACTACCGTGACGCAGACTTTAAGTGCTATAAAAATTAACCCATGTTATACGGAGTACTATAAAAACTAACCCATGTTATACGGCACTTGAAATGTCGTAAATATTTTCTCCTTCTGTTTATATTTATCTCTTCATATCTAATTCTTTTTATGTTTATCTCTTTTAGAGAGATAAAAAAGAGATAAATATTAAAAAGAATTAGAGAGAGAAAGAAAAGATAAACATAAAAAGAATTAGAGAAAGAAGTGATAAACATAAAAAGAGATGAAAGTGAGAAATATAAAAAAGGTTTATGGGATTTGGAGGGTCGTATAACATGGGTTAGTTCTTACAGTACTTAAAATGTCGTATAACATGGGTGGGTTTAACATGGGTTAGTTTTTACAATACTTTAATTGTGCTTCCCAAAATTGAACAAAAAGTATGTGGGTGAGGTTTATGAAAGTTTTTATGGTACTTAAAGTACCGTAATTGTGCTTCTCAAAATTGAACAAAAAGAGTGTGGGTGAGGTTTATGAAATTTGATGGTTTTTTTTTCTAAATAAACAAAAATTAAGGTATATTTGTGATAATTTTCCAAATTTTTACTATATATCACATATATCAAATACTTACATTTTCATATTTATGGGCCTGGGCTGCTTGGCCTGATTTTGTTTCATCCCAAGCCAAGCCCGGGCCCATTATCATGAACTCGTTCCACGCCTGAGCCTACCCTAACTTTTTGGGGCCATGCTAGGGCCCAGGCTAGCCGAGCTTGAACCTGGCCTATTAACAGCCCTAGCAACAATAATGGCACTTGGCCTTCATAAGACTCATAAAAAGTTTATCTCCAAATCCTTTTAAGTATTGAAATAGACTAAAAAATATAAAATAATGCTTAGTTCCATTCCTAAATCATGCCATATAGTGAGTCTTCATTTCAGTGACATTTAGGTCACAATGCAATTTTCTTAACAGAAAATCAGATTGAGCACCTCTCAATAAAAAACTATTTCTCTCAATTCTCAAAGAATTTCATTCTAAAATCTTTAGTGTTGAAAACTAGACTCAAAATAAAATCACAACATCATAGTTTGAATCCCAAATAGCACTTTTCTTCAGAGAAAAAAATAAGTGACATTCATGTCACAAAATAAATCATACTGCAGAATTTCAAGATAAACAATCTAGTAAAATTATCTTTTCTCTATACTCTCATGGAGTTTCTATTTCAAACTAACTTTGTTTGAAATTAGACACATAATGATAACGCATATATTTCCACAAGCCTCATGATTTTGTTAAGTAGCCTTGATAAATATAGTTATTCATATCTCAATGAATAATATACCAAATTGCAGAAAATTTAGGATGAAATCTCTTCAATCCAAAATTTTTATTCCTCTCTTTCTGTAGATATTTCTCTTTTAAATAAATTTTATTATAAAATAAACTCAGAATGAAAGTCTAAAAATTTAGCGTGGACCATAAAACATTCTGTTAAGTATAGAAATAAAATCATAGCTTCTAAGTCATGGAAATAGTTTTCGTTCCAGAAAATAGTACTTGCGCACACTTCAATAAATTGATCATATCTTCCAAACCACAAGGAATTTCTTGATGAAACTTTTTTGCTTGAAAGTAGACTCAATTTTGTAAGTTACAGTAAAATTTTAGCAAGAAATAAAATCATATGATTTGTAGGAAAAATCACGGAACTCAATGGACAGTTCTTCGATTATGCAGTGTCAGAACTGACACCCTTCATTTATGATTCTATAACTCTCAATTCCCTTAGGATCTCTCACTGAAAATTTTCAAGTATATCATATTCTTAAAGACACAAAATATCATTGAAATATGTAATAGAAAAATACCTCATTATATTCTTCATATCACTACTCTAAAATAGCTTAAAATACTCATTATGCAGAGTGTCTTTTCGGTGTTGGAATATTTCAATAATTCTTAACCGTGGGTGTATTTCTTGACTAGCTTTCTTATATCTCATTCCCAAGCTTGATCTCAACTCAATAAAGAAAAAAGATAACTAATGGCATCAAGTATCAATAGCTCTGATACCAATGAAAGAAAGACCTATGTGATCTTTTATCGGTAAATATATTATTATTATTATTTATTTATTCACCCCTTTTTTTTGGTAAAAGATCACTAACATGTGGTCTTTATTATAATAAGATAAATTTTATAATAAAATCAACATAATAATATAACCAAGATCTTGACAACTTGATGTCATTGAAACAACTATGCACTATGCTTAAGAATAAAAGATAAGATTGCAAGAAACAAAAGGACAAGTGCCGGAGATTACCTCAATCAAGTTTATTACACCCCACACTGAGTCACCACCATCCAATGGCCCGGGATCAACAGTCTAACTTCAATCTCGAACCAAAAAAGTAAATATTGGCCAAGCCACACCAATGAAACATGAACCCCCTTTGATCACAAACTCAAACCCTAGGTGAATTCTCTTAGCAACTTAGTTTGAGAGAGATGGATTCTTTTTTTACTAAACCCTAAAACCCTTAGCCATAATCCACATTTGAGAGATAGGAGAGAAAAACTTCATAACCTAAACCCTTAGGTTCTTTCACAATGTAGGAGAGAGAGATCAAATATGAGAGAGATAAACTTTCTTAAGAGAGAGAGATAGAAATATAAGGTGTAGAGATTTTTTGGTAGAGACAATCCATTTTTATAGGTTTTGAATAAGATTAGGGTCTCTTAGAAACAATCCATTTTTATAGGTTTTTTGGTAGAGACAAATCCATTTTTATAGGTTTTTGAATAAAATTAGGTTTTCTTTAACTTGCTTCTGCTTGTGAGATTGAACATAGACCGTCGATCAAAGGTGACTTGTTGAATGAGAGATCTGAGCCATCCATTCCATAGATGAGTCATCAACATTATGGAAGGTACATGAACCATTATCCCCCTTTTCTAAA